ATAATTCTTAGGAGTATTTTGAAGACTTTTTAACTCCACGTTGGAACTATATATTTGAACAATAAATCAGTACCGGAATAATAGCAGAATTTTTCATTTACCTGAAGTGCCCAACTTTAGACTTGGCCACTGGACATCTATTTATTCAGGTATAATTTTCCAGTTGTTCTCTTGGCATTTCTACTCCTTTCTTCTACACAATTTGAAGCAGTTTTAAGGACCCAGAAGACTGGCATGTTAAAGGATGAAGCATTCAAATGTCTCAAACGAATGAGTGTCCAAATTTGACTTAAATGATATCAGTGCAGATGACCAATGGTTCAACTTTCTATCTTGTATAGGTATCATGAATATAATTTCTGTGTAGATGATGAATAACAAACTGACCTTGAAAACATAACATTCTCTTTCTCAGACTGAATTATAATGCACCTCCGGCATAAGGATGGGTGAAGATGGTGCTATACTTGAATGGATTACATCTGGTATCCAAACTAGAGGAGAATTCTGAGTTATCAAACTCTGGATATTTAAATGTTACTAATTTGAACATCAACATATTCAACATATCATCCATGTGATGCAGTTGGGATACAGGCTACCTGACTTGTAGAAGGCAAAAAATCAAATAATTGAACTCATTGACAGCACAGGGTTTCCAAACCTCTTGGTAGTTTGAGGTAATGTTTGGACATCTTCATACTGATACTGGTGTGGCCACCTTGTTGTTGAAATGTTAGCTGAACAATCTCAAAATCAGTTTGAGTTGCTAGACACAGAAAACCTTTTCACAATGGTCCCCTAGTAAATTGGGTTTTATTACCAACATTATTTTCAATTACCAACCTAGGCATTTGTGAGTATCAGACTTATTTCTGTGAAAGCACATGGAAATATCCTCCTTTGAAATAACCTGTGCATTGGAGTTGCAGCACATATTTTTGCCTGGCCTGAAAATTGGCCTGTTCACATTTTGTTTAAAATTGAACCCGGAATTCCATCACTAACTGGACTGTTATGTTGTCTGCTTCACATGTATTTAGTTTTCTTTTTGGAAGGCAGGGAGCTTGGAATTCCCCTCTGCACCGTGAGGTTTAGTATTAGATCTACTCTGACGGTACAGGGTTGTACCTTCAAGGTACTAAAGAAATGAACACCATTAAATCAATGAGACCCCTGTTCCATTCTGCACTATTTTTAATCCTTACCTTGATGAGTCACTTAATCTAAATTTGTACTTTATCTTGGCCTGATCAAGACAGAATTTTTTTTCCCTTTATTCATGCATGGGATGACAGCGTCGCTGACCAGGCAGCATTTATTGCCCATCCCTAATTGCCCAGAGAGCAGTTAAGAGTCAACCACATTCTTGTAGGTCTGGGAGTCACATGCAGGCCAGACCAGGTAAGGATGGCAGTTTCCTTCCCTAAAGAAAACATCAGTGAACCAGATGGGTTTTTCCGACAATCAACAATGGATTCATGGTCATCATTAGATTCTTAATTCCAGATATTTATTGAATTCAAATTCCACCATCTGCTGTGGCGGGATTTGAATCCAGGTCCCCAGAACGTTATCTGTCCAGGGATAGTACCACTAGGCCATCGTCTCCCCCGAGGAGAGGATTCTGAGGCCATCTGAGGATTTTCAGTCTCTTTCCAGGTGTTGCTGTGTACTTAGGATATGCACCATTCCTGAATGAGGCTGATGCATGTCTAATTTAGAATCTGAGCGGTAACTTTATATGGATTGATTTGTGACCTATTAACCTTTCTGCACACCTATTGTGGATTGGGGGGGCGGTGAATTACAAATTTGTTTGAAGTTGAATCTTCTGGCTCTCAGCTGATCAAATTGGGACATCTTTGACGATTACCTTTGATGAATAGTGATGCAATCTAGTAGAAGTGCTGAACTCATGGTGTTTGAAACAGCTATCAGTTTTACTTTGATCTGATCTAACCATTTCTAAAAATGTTGAATTTTCTTGCCAAATATATTGTTCACTAATGATGCCATTCGTGAACTCACTTCCACTGTTGTTTTCTGAATTGGGAATGTGGGCTGTTTAGTTGAATCTTAATTTCATTTGCTGCTTCCACTGGTAATGCACCATAGCTTTGGCTGTGGAATGTCTGCATCTTTCTCTTCCCCTCTACCTGGAATGAAATTATAACTTTCATCACCATCAGCTGTTGCCTGCCTTTTGACCTTTTTTGGATTTGCTGTGACTTTGGAAGTTGTCCCTGGACAGCCCTTCAGAGTTCAAATGTTCCCTTTTTTTTTGTCCTGAATGCACACTAAATTTCTCTTGGGAAACTTCGTCAGCATGGACAAGTTGGCCCAAAGGGTCTGTTTCCATGCTGAATGAGTCTATGTATGAGGACACCTGGAATGCTCTATATGACAGCATTCTGCAGTCTCTCACCATTTAAGAAATACCTTGCTTTTCTATTTTCCTGCCAAAGTGGTCAAAACATTTTCACACACTATACTCCATCTGACATTTTATTTGCACACTCACACAACCTAACTATATCCTTTTGCAGAATTTTTGTAGCCCCCCCCCATAACTTGCTTTCTTAACTATCCGTGTATCATTAGAAAATATGGCTTCAATACATGAAGATGTCCCTTCCAATTCACAAATAAAGACTGTAAGTAGGTAACGTCCTGTCAGTGACTCCTGTGGCACTCCACAACTTATAGCTTGCCACCTAAAAATGCATCATTTAACCTGAGACTCCGTTTCCTGTTAGTTAGTCAATTCTTTATTCATTCCAATATATCACCTGCAAAGCAACGAGCTCTTACCTTGTGACAAACCTTATTAAATGCCTTTTAGAGATATAAATACATGACGCCTACTGAATTCCCCTTTATCCATCCTGCTTGCTATATCCTCAAAGATCTCTAATAAATTTGTCAAATATAATTTCTCTTTCAGAAAACAACGTTGACTCAGCTTAATTTTCTAAATGTCCTGCTAATACCTTTTGTTGCTATGATATATATAGTAAACATTCAAAAAGAATGGCCTTCAAAGAAATTGAGGAGCACATTTTCCAGAGAAAGCTACTTTTAATAATGAGTTATTGCTATGGGAAAGACATGTTAGGATTGAGTCAGCTGGTATCATGCTTTCAGACAGTGTTAGCACCTTACTGATGGCATGGTAAAAACTGGACTTAGATTCATTACAGTCAGATCTAATTAACTTCAGATTTTGTTACCATATTTGCACTAAACTACTGACCATCTGACTTCCCTCTCCGGTCCCATGCTAGCTGATACTATGAAGTTTATTCTCTGCTGATGTTTTCCCCTCCCTTTCAAATTTGCCAGCAGAAAATAAAAGTTCACCCAGACTCTTCTGTCCTAGTCAACTACAACAAGATCACCAAACTCAATTTCCTTTACATATTCTTTGAATGTACTGTAGAATCTGAAATGCATGGCATCCTTCCACAGTTCCATGTGTGTACCTCCAAAATCAACTTCTGCCCGGTCACAGGACTGTGGAAAGCTATCCTTTCCTCAGTCTTCTCAATATTTAACA